TGAAGTCCCTTTTTTACTCTGTATGCTGTTCCTCTTCACTTGACCTAAGGTCAGCTGTTAAAGAATAAATTTCCTCATTAATTTTCACTAATTGATGTACTTCTGCAAAAAGTTTGGGAAGTACCCCTAAGGCCATCAACATGTCCAAAGGATAACAAATGTTACATGAACTTGGGTTAGTCCTGCAGGTCAATATGATATACACAGTAACCAGATTCTAGCTGAGAGTGTCCCCTGCTAACCAGACCCTGTGTCTACATTAGATCTCCTGATCTTCACAAAAAAACTCAAAAGGTAAGTTCTATCTTCAGCCCCATATTTGCAAGTAAACAGGCTAAAGCAAGTGAGTCCTAGAAGAGTTATCTAATTTGCCCAAGTCTAGGAGGTGGTAGAATCTGTCCGTAAAACTTAACTCTTACTGTCTCTGGGAACAACAGCTAATGTTGATCTGGTTGTTACTCTCTGCCACATGGTACATTACAGCACTTAACGTGCAGGGTCTTACTGGAAAGTCACAATACATTATTTGAAAATACTATTATTGGTATCATCATTTTACAGATGATGAAACCGAAGATTAGAAATGTTAAGTACAGTTTTTTTTTTTTTTAAGGCGAAGTAAAAAGCACACTTTCTTGGCATGAAAGAACTAAACCGGCCCTCTAGGTTGCTTTGATTCAGCTACCCTTTGGCATGGAGGCTTGCCTGGCTGGAGAATATAATGTTGTGCATAAATATGTCTTTTGCTCACCTGCAAGAGTAAAAGAAAAATACTTGAGTTGCCAAGGTGAAACCCATTGTGCCAATAAATATCAAAACGCCCTTCAGTCCTTTGATCGGTGAATTCTATACCTAAATAAAACAATTATTGCTTTCATAAACTGTCTCTATTTGCTACTGACAGTAAGAAAACTGAAACAGTATGTCCTGCAATAGCCTTTAAATAACCAAGGAGAGAGATCAAAATAAAAATAAATCTTGACCAGATTTATAGGTACACCTTGATTAGTTCTCGTTTTTTCCTTCAAATAAGCAATACCTGAAAAAAATGAAAAGGGAATGTTAAGCCCAGATATCATGTAATAGATGGGTTTTCTCTGCCATAGAGTATGGTATAATGCCGAAAAAATAATGTTGGCCCATCATTCGTGACGCTTACTAGCAAAGTAGCGCAGAGAGAAAGAAAAAGAGGATTTTTCAGGAGGCTGAATGGTACCATCACTTGGATTTGAACAAATTATCATTTACTTGACTTACTTCTTGAAGTTTTGTTATGGCACTGTGTTTTCTCCAACACAACTGTTTTTTTGTTTGTTTGTTTCAACTGGTAGCAGTTTTTTGATTCAAAAATTCTAAGTTATGAGTAAATATGGAATATTTTTTTCTTTTGTACTTAAAAATGCAGTGAAATATTGCATTACATCCTGCATAGAAATGCACAATTATGTTTGGCCATCTCCTTGGCTCAAAACTTGTTTTCTAAGCCTGAAGAGAATGATACTGTCTTAAATGTGTCTTTATGGATGGAGAGGGATTTCAGTCCCATGCAGTATGTCAGAGATCAAACGTAGGTCTTGCAGATATGATTGTGATGTTGGCTGATGAGAAGGCGTATCTTATAAAAATTTTTATACACAGTGGGATACAACTGGAATTATTTACCCGCTGCTCCCCTTTCTCACTCTCCCCAGGACTCAGATATCTTCTCAAAGTAATATGCCTCAATTAGTAGAAATGCCAGTCAATAAAACTAAAGCAAAGGATTAACATTTTTTTAAAGTAAGTTTCATTTTTCAATAAAACACCTTTTTAATGAAAACCTCTTCATTTTGCTCAGCAACACTTTATCTATGATGGATTTGACTAGCTGAATAAAAATACACAGTTAAAGGAAAGATAGTTTCCATCAAAGCTGTTGAAATCTGATTTCATTTCGGATTCTAGAACTAATGTGGTTTTTTGTTTAAATAGATTTTCTCTGTCAATTTCCAGACCTGCTGTGCCATCAGCCTTTATGGACTGCTGTGGTCAACACGGGGGTTGTAGCGGCAAATTTTATTATGGACTGGTAATTGAATTGAACAGGTTTACATTTGAATAGATTTACTTCATCATGATCTCTGACATACTGCATGGGACTGAAATCCCTCTCCATCCATAAAGATACATTCAAGACGGTATCATTCTCTTCAGGCTTAGAAAACAAGTCTTGAGCCAAGGAGATGGCCAAACATAATTGTGCATTTATATGCAGGACATAATGCAATATTTCACTGCATTTTTAAGTACAAAAGAAAAAAAATTCCATATTTACTCATAACCATCGCATCCTTTCTATTTTTTTTGGGGGGATGGAGGGTCGGCGCTTACAGAACTGACATTTTGCCTTCAAAGTGAGCATAAGAATGTAAAGGAAAATAAATTATTATTTGAGTATATCAGCAACAGCAGCAATTCCCTTGAAAACAGATCCTCTAAAGGCTTGATAACAGCAACTGAAGAGGTGTGAATTATAGATAAGCTCTGTCCCATTTACTTTCACCAACAGTGTTTAATTAAACACAGTTCACACCTCTTCATTTACTCTTACCCCCTTCAGGATTGCGCCTGCTCAAAACCACAATGGGAACAACTATTTAAGGGAAAATATATTTTCTTCCTCCTTAAACCTAGAAGGGCGAATAGTTGAGTGCATTACAGCAGTAAAATCAAACTAATCAAAAACTTCTGTCTTCCTGGAAATGGAGGTGTGACTCCATGTACTTTAGTTTTTGAAAATAAAATCTATATCTAAGACACAACCATACAAAGGTTTCATTGATACATTACTTTTACAGCATTTTCAAAAAATTAATTTGCTTTTCAAAACTGTTTCCTTAACTTTCAAGGGTATGAAACCACATTTAATTGTGCCTCTGTGAATGAGCATAGATTTAGTTTGAGTCTCCACAGCCAAACTAAGTAGCAATATAAGTATAACTAAGACCAAAAATTGATTGTCAATCACTTATCATTACATTTGGAAATATGGTAATTTTTTTTTTGTTTGCTTGTTTTGTTTTTGTTTTTTTGTTACTCTGCTATAGGGTTTTAAGGCAATGGACAAGATAAATTTTTCCACCTCAAAATTGTAAGCTGTCACTATTGTACTTACTAAAAGGAAAACTGTCGTGTGGGTCGGGTGGTTGTTTTGGGGTTTTCATTTATTTTTGTGTTTTTCTTTATCAAAATTGTCTTTTTGGCAATTTCATATGTTTTCTCTAGCAAGAGCAACCAGGTCTGTCTTTTTCACTGTTGAACCACTGGAGCCTGGAACAGTGCCTGGCAAACGGGAGGACCTTAATAAATATTCAGCAAGTTTTACATTATAAATTTAAAAATTTACATTATAAAGGTAAAATTTGTTAACTGTGAAAAATCCTAACAGTGCCAAAGGCTACACAATAGAAGGTATTCCACATCCTCATTTTTATTCACCGACGTAACATCTTCTCCATGCACGCACCGTCACAGTGTATCTACTTTCTACCATTTCTTTTTTGGATGCGTGTGTGTGTGTGTGTAAATGTGTGTGTAAAATCATCCTACTAGACAACTTGTTTTTCATTTTATTTTTTTTTCATTTATTTTTTTATGTGGCCACGTATTTTGGTCATCTCTTCCTAAGGCTTTAATTGTAAAGTTATACACTTGTTTGTTTATAGCTCTTTTTGAAGGGAAGAGGAAAGTTGAAGACTTGAAGAAGAATTTGAGAGGCTCTTCTTTTGTTCTTAGCAGACAAGTAAGAGGCAGAGAAATACAAGGTAAATTCCATGTACTCAAATATAATCTGATCCTCTCATCTTTCTGTAACATTGTTCACAGTAAAAATCTTAGAGTAAGAACAACCCAGGAAAAGATATGAGATACAGTAATACCACACTCAACTGAAGCTCTAGTTCATTCTTGGTGAATTAACCCTCAGGTCTATGTGGATTTAGAAATTCAAAGTAGGGGATCTCCAGTAACAACAAAATACTCAAATTAATGGGGCAAACCCCAGGAATAAAGCATATTTCTATGATGCAACAGAAGCTATAGATTTAAATATTTAATCAACTGAATTTTCTTTCAAACTTTGATTACCATGCTTTTGCTTTGTTACTTTATAAAATTATCATATTTATTTTAAACTCTAATTTATTCTCTGAAGAGGACACAGAAAAATCTAAATGTAGTATGTAAAATGCACATCTACAAAAACACACACATGTACAGACACACATAAGAAAACAAAAACTAAATGGTAGGCCTCCCAAAGAAAAGAATAATTTTTCTCTATCTCCAAGCTGAAACGTTTGTTTCACTGGACATGCTGAAATATACAAATATTTCAGGACCTCTGACACGTGTGGAATAGTGGAGTGGTGTCTAGAATTGATGGGCTCAGTTCCAGACTCCACCAGTTATTAACTGTGTGAACTCAGGCAATTTGTTTAGCACAGAATATGTGTTTACTGTTATTTCTTTGCATCTGTGGTTGTTTTCCCCGACTGAAAGCAAATGGAAGGCAATTTTAATATCATATTGCAAGCTTTATAGTAGAAAATAAGTCCAAAAGACAAGGTTGGAAAATAATAAAAGAGTACTCTAAACTGATGATTAATTAAAATAAAATCTCACTGTGAACCTAGTAATGAGAAGAAAAGTAAAAAGACAATAGCAGCCTCTTCGTTTGTCTTCATCCTTCGCCTTCTGCAAATTGTAAAGATGAAATGACCAGAACTGCGGAGCATACCTGGTGGGTTTAGCTGCACATCAGATGTGTCCTACCTTGTCTCTTCCTGTTGATGTCAAGCGGTCAGCCACAAGGTATCAGAAAGTTCAGGAGTAAAGAAGTATTCTGACTTCAGATTCAGGGAACTTACTGTTTTCTGGTTTCTCTAAAGTTAGTGTAATTCTCGGTACCTCTGCACCCCCCCTCAAACCTACAGCACAGGGACTCGAGCAAAGTGCCTTACCTTCTTTCAGCATGCCCACTTTTAAACACTTCATGAAGCGGCAAGCCTGGCAAGATTTACGTCTGCGCTTTGTGATTTCACATTCATTCGTGGCAGGGCAGCTATATTCTATATTACCTAAAACACAGAGTTTGAAGAAAAGAAGCTGTTAGACTTGCAAGACCCAGGAAATATCAGCATCCCAAAAGCAATGCCATATGTGTGACTCCTACTCCCCTCGCTCCCAAAAGATGCCACGTGAGATTCATGACGAATGTCAGAAATATCTTGAAGCTGGATGCTGTGCTAAAACCAAATGAAGACACATTGAACACCAGGAAAACATATTCCTATGGTAAAGCTCGTCAAATGACTAAGTTTAAAAGTAACCTTTTATGAACATAATCTACTTTGAAATTTCATTTGGGATCCTAAGATTCTGGAAGACTGTTACTTCGCATGGGTGAACTAAGATGCAAGTAACAGTCTTACAGAATCTTAGGTCATCATCATCATCACCATCATCATCATGATGTTTGTTACACTATTTGCATAATTAATTCCAAATACTCAGGCTCCAGGATGATGTTATAAATAAGAATAAACTGCTATGAAATTATATTTTTAATATCAGACTTCACATCATTTATGGTAGTACCTACATATTTGAAATAAGTATGTAACCAGATGAATATCCAAATTTAACTTTGAATATTTTCAATTAGTCCTGATGCCCATGTGTGGGATGTGCTCTGGGGCTGCCTACAGCTTGTAAAGGAGCTGCCTTTAAAATAAAGCCTTTCTCTCCTATCAGCTCTGTCACATAGTGCTTGAAGGTCTTTCGTTACTTCCTAACCCTTTCCCCCTGTGATTAAGTGCATTAGTATCTTAATGAAAATGCATTCTGTTTATTGCCCTCTTGGGAAGGGGGAGGTCATCACACCAAATGCATAAATTGTCATCAGAGACGGTCCGAGCATAATTGCAATTTTGAAGCTCCATGTTTGCAATATTCAGGGTCCGTCCAAGTCCCCTGAAACATGCGCAGATTCTAGTAATTAGCATAGAGTCTGCCTGGGACCACAGCATTGATGAAATATTTCAGAGTTAATCACACTTTGTAAACACTGATTTATATTGACTACTTTTCTCCAGACTGATGTCTCCTCATTAAATATCACATTAGTGAATTGAGGGACTATACAAAGACTCAACTACTCAGCAACTGCTAATTCAACAGGAAGTAATACCTAACCACTTATAACTACTGAAAATTGGTTAAGTATGCATGACATTAAAAAAAATTGTACATTATAACTTGAGATAAGCCTGTTAAAATTGTTTGACTAAATTAGAATTCTAATGCAGGGCATTTATAATAATACAAGCAACTGCTTTTTAATATGAGGTTAAATAATAAGAGTAATATTAATTTCATCAACAGAAGCAAACACCATCACCTTCCTCAGAGATGTTCCTGAGACTACCCTCAAAGAAAACCAAGGACAAAGGCAGGAACCAGACTGGCTGTGGCTGAGAACAAAAGGATTCAGAAACTGAACTTAGGATGAACCACTCTTCACTGCAGAGTTTCTTTAACCATTCCTGAAAATGTCTTTTGCTTCAATAGCATGTGGCTAGTAATTTTCTAAGGGTTAATTAGTTATTCCACTACCAGACCCCTCCTCTCTATATGGCTCTTCATATACTTATTTAGAAAGAAACCCAGGCCTTTGCTGTCTTAGGAAGGAATGAACGATAACTGGTTAGAAGGATCAGAAAGAAAAAAAGTTTTCCAAACAGCACTTCTTTCCTTTTTTGTGCCTGAAAAGTCAGTATGAAGTAATATTTTGCCTGTATCAAGGCATGAACACCAGCCCCACTGTAGCTTTAACGCAGTGCTGGAAATGTCTACTGGAATGACCCACCACCACAAGCAAATATAATCATCTTTCTTTTCAGAATAGTTCCTCTTCCCCTTTGAAAACTGTATCTCCATCCTTCACGTCCACACTCCTCTGAAAGGAACATAAACCAGGCATGTGCCAGCCACACTTGGACTGTGGCAGGTATCTCCTCACTGGGTGCTTTGCCCCCATGTGGTCCTACCCTAATCAATGCTGCACACAACCATCACATTCTTCTCCTGCGACTGCTTTGATCATGCCATTACCCTAATTAAAAAAAAATCAATAAATTCCTATGGTGCACTGAATTAAATACAAAATTTTAGATTAGCAAACAAGGTCCTCTCCCAATCTAACTCTCATCTACTTTTCCAGCAATATTACAATTATTACCTTACATGAACTTTCTGAGGCACCCAATTTGATTTATTCATTTTTTGCTCAGTGTCCTTCAGACCTCCCCCTGAGAATGATCTATTTTTGCCAGTCTTTTCTCCTTAAAGTTATTTCCAAAGCTCAATGCTCAACTCCAATTCCATTTAAATCTTTCGTGGAAACTCCTCAGACCATCCCAGCAGAAAATCATTTCTTGGTTCTCCTATCTTTTTGGGTATTCTAGTCATATACAGACAGGCCATATTTTGTTATATTTTTTCATATACGTATTATCCATAGATGGTAAGGTACTGGAGGACAAGGGCTATTTCTTATGCAGAATAAAAATCTTCCAACAAAAGGTAGCATATAAGTAAAATAATATACTTATAATAGCTTTTACTATTTTCTTGTTATCACAAGAAACTATGGTGCTGTAATGCAGTAGTATCCATAGAATCAAATGAGCTGGATGTCCATTAGGAAGAAGTATTAAGAACACTAGGAAAATCATACCACAAATAATCAAAAAAAGTAGAAGGAAATCTCGTTAATTTTTGAAAACCTTGAAAAGTGGAGAAACACCCCCAAATACCAAAGCTTCTGGGAAGTAAAGTATGAAAAGAAAAAACTCTGAAAGAGGCTTTAAAGGAAATAAAAGTACATTCTGACATGAATAGGATAAAAATAAAAGAAAAATAACATACGAAAATAATGATAGATGGTACTAAAAGAGTTATGAAATTTTTATCTTCTTATAATAGTTATTATTATTGACAAAATAGGCTCTCTCAGAATTGAAGCCAAATTAGAGAAAATATTTAGGAGTGATTTAATAACAGTAGCTAAATCTATGAATGACTCTTCTACTAATAACTGTGTAAAGATTTTTGGTCTTCAAAAAACAGAAGGGAATTTGTGAAATTGCCACATGAGATGTCTAGAATACATAAAAAGAAGTACACTGGTTTCCTTTCTAACCATTACATTCCATAATTCTTCAATGACAAAGAGAAAGGTAAAGGCAGGGAAATTTTTAAAAGAGCCTTCAAATGAATTTTTGAGGGGGGATTTCTGCCTTAGTCTCTGCTGAGTCCTCAGTGCTTATCAAAGAGCCTGGAATTTTATATCACGGCTGGGGTGGGAGGTGGTTTCTGGTCTTGAGAAGTCCATAGTCGCAGAGGAAACAAGACATGTCAACAGACAGCAATGAGCTTAGTGTGTCACGTGACAGTTCTGGGTGCAGGACCCGCACGCACACACATGCAATCTCACCAACACAGATGGCATGGTGAGGAAAGTCAGCAGGTTCTTCACACAGGAGCAAATGCTTGAACTACGCTATGAAAAAGGAATAAATGACGACGGTGGGCTAAAGGAATCTTCCCCAAAATATAGGAAGCGCAACAACATTTTTGTAAAAAATTTCACCGTGGATGGATGGAAAACATAGTGGTCACAAGTGTTTTCACAAGTGATGTGTTTTCAGCTTAAGTGTACAGAAGTTGTTTACAATACAACAGGCATACTTCACAAATGTTCTATTTCAATAAAGTTGTCTCGACATGTATGGATGATAACCTTGATTGCACTAAGTAACTGGATTATATCTTGAAAAACAAATCAGCATCATTCTAAATAACTTATTTGCTGGAGGAAAACCTCTCTAATTTCCAAGCCCTCCCATTGAGTTACTTAGTTCATTTTTGTTGGCTATGATCACCCACCCCACAAAGTCTTTGATCCACGCTAGAGACTACAGAGATTCTGCCCTTGAAAAACCTTTCCTAGTGTTTTTCTATTCAAGAAAGAAAGCATTTTATCCTAAAAAATGTGCTGCCCCAAGCACCTCGGTAACAATGTTACATCTATGTTGGTAATGATTCAAAGACATTATTCCCAGTAGACCACATGATCTCTATGAGGCACTTGTTTTCCTTCGATTCACTAAAAGTGGAAACTAGACAAAAACATTTCCAATAGCAACTGTGGACACCTGGAATGTTAATAGTGGACAATCATCCAGGAGGATGCAGAAGTTACTTGTCACAGCATAGGATTCTCATTTCAGACATGGAGTTTTCCTGGATTATAGCTTGCTATTTTCTGGGACAGATTTGTTAGATGGCACCAGGGACTGAATTGGGCAGCTACTGATGACACAATTGGAATTTTCCCAATTTTGTCGATAGCTACGGAAGTGCACTATGCTGCAGAGGGAACCAGATCAACATGGAAGCTCTGGATTTTTTAAACCAGGCTGACAAGAATGATACAGCCATTTATAATATCTCCTGGCGGCTTTTCAGAAAGTCCTGGGCTCTGATTACTTATTTCAGAGTCTTTTGTACAATTAGTTTGCAGGCAATATAATTTTCTCACTTACTGCTTAATAGAATCTTGCAGCTAGCTGGCGGACAGAATAACAGGGTTCATGTAAAACTCCAGCCTGGAGTGCCAGTGGATAATTTGTATATTCCTTTCAGTCACTTAATGGACTTTTACAGTTTGGCAGTGAAAGGGCTGAATGATGTAAATTAGCATGGCATCTCAAAATAAAAATATATGTCAAATCTTTACTTCCGATTCACATCACTCCCACACAGTAATGATGCATTTGTATTTATGTAGCTCCTCAGAGTTGCCCTCTTTTTCATATATACGGACATCATAATTGTAAAGCCAATTCAGAAGCATCTGTATATTTCCTCCAATTGTTTTAATTTTATTAACAGAACCAAATGTCGTGAGACAACCCACAGGGCACTTCAAGTGGGGTTTATCCAATTGTTTTTCGACATTAAATTATTTTAAAATAATGGGAGTTGCCTTAATACACAATTACAGAGCATTGAA